GCAGAAGCCTTGACATTTATGTTGCGAGGATAGAAATCAATCTTGGTGGAGATGACATTGTCCTTGTAGTACCAAATCTTGTCGCCATAGGTCCTAATCTTGATTGGGACATGGCCTTGGGCGAGTGCTTGACCAAATTTCAAACCATCAAAGTGAGTGAGATCGATAAACTCAATCTGTTCCACATCAATCTCTTTACAAAATGTCACTTGCACAACTTTTTGTTCTGGAAACACTTTGACCTTGATGGCAGAGTGGTTCAGCTGCTGCTGCATGTATTGTCTGGGATTTTCCTGGACAAACATTTGAAGGATTTCAGCATGGTCATTAAAGATGTAACACATTATTTCTGACGTGTGTCGTAATCGATCATTCTCCAGGGTTTCGAGGTACTGAAACTCGCCAGCTGCTTGAAAATCTGAATACACTTCTCGCTTTGTTCTGTTTAGGAATTTTGCAGCATACTCTTGATAAGATGTTAGGCGCTTTGGTGTTATTCCTGGCTCTCCAACCTCAGTAGGCTCTTTTCGCTGTTTAGTTTCTTCTCTAAACCAATCAGCTTCTTCTTGAGTTAGTCGTATTTTTGGAGTAACTTGTCTCTGTCGTTCAGCTAGCCATTCAGCTTGTTCTTCCTCTAATCGTCTTTTATGTTCATCGGCATCAGCTTGTCTTTGACGTTCAGCTTCTTGTCTCTGCCATTCAGCTTCTGCTTCTTGTCTCTGCCATTCAGCTTCTTCTTCTTGTCTTTGACGTTCTGCTTCAGCTGCTTGTCTTTGGCGTTCAGCTTGCTCTTTTTTATCTTGTTCGAGTTGACGTTCATGTTGTTGTCGTTGAGCAGCTTGTTGTCTTTGAGCAGCTTGCTGTCTTTGTGCAGCAGCTTGTTGCCGTTCAGCTTGTTGTCGTTGAGCAGCTTGCTGCCTATGACGGTCCAATTCGGTTCCGTGGGAACCCGGGCTACGCCCTTCAGCTTGCGCCTTTTGACGTTCTGGTCCACCTTGTTGTCTTTGACGTCTTTGAAGTTGTGGTTCTGGTTTTCGGGTCATCATCGGGCTATGACCCTGAGCCCGAAGGAAGGTCTTGCTAGTCTCTGATGCCAAGACGACTCTTCGAACAGCAAAGCCCTCTGCACTTATCTTGAGATCATTACCACAGTCGGTTGTAGTCTTGTTGGCCTTGAAGCTCAAAGCAATCTGATTCTCACTGTTAATCCAGAGACCATTTGTGTAAAAGCCATTGAATTTACCAATAGAAAGGTACTGACAATTTTGGTCCTTGTTGACATCCCATATCATGGCCTCATTGCTCTTAATTTTGCATTGGCCAGCTGTGTAATTGCATTTGTCCATTGAGACCAAAAGATTGGATGGACGGCTTTGATTGAAATGAGAATAGACTTTGGTTTCTATCACGACACAGTTTTCTTTTAGTAAGCGTCTAGCTGAAACAAGGCTGAGGAATCGATTAGGATAGTCGGCAGTGACCTTATTATCAGTAAACCACGAGTGATCTCGTTTTTGCAGTGCTCCGAAATCGCACCGCTTGTTGAGCACCATTGCTTTACAATCGCCAATCGTGATGGCCTTGTTGTTTAGCTCCTTCTCTACCAAGTGTTGATAACCAGAGAGGTCTGTATGCATTGAGACTTCTGTTACTAGCTTTTTGCATAAATGTCCATTCGAAACGTATTCGATAATGTTTGGTTTGAAGACTTCATACTTTACTACTTTGGTGGCATTCCTAAAAGCATAGTTGCATCTTGGTACCTTGGGGATTCTAAAGTATTGGATTGGTGCAGAGTCTGTGCAAATGATTGGCTGAGCGATAGCCAAACTAATTTGAAGAAACGCGAGAATGAGAAAACGCATTTAATACTTTAACAATTATTAACATTTAGTTATTTTAACTTATCGTATTATTTTAACAACATTCTTTACATTTTGTTCCGTAACAAAAAATTTCACTACCACTATACATCTTTTCTTTTATTTTAACAACATTGGATAATACTCTTCTTATTAAATGGAAGCTGTTGATCGTATGCTGACTGTTGATGCCCCAATCATTACAGACACTTCGATTCAGAAAGAAAATTTAATAAATATTTTCCCTGCCTCTGGGTCAAATTTGAATCAACAAGGAGAGATCAATTTTATCGTAGAGTCTTGTGATCAATATCTTTTGCTGCACAAGAGCTATCTCTATCTTGAAGCCAGCTTGACTCGACTTGATGATGCTGCTTTGGCAGCTGCAGATTTGGTCTCGCTAACTAACAATGCACCAATGTTTCTGTTTGACAGAGCCACTTACTCGATGGATGGAATGCAAGTTGAAAATGTGATTGATCCTGGAAGAGCAAGTCTAATGAAGGGGCTGCTGACCTATTCTTCAACCATGAATAAACAAAATTCGTTTGGCTGGATCTTGGAATCGGGTGAGATTATCAATTACAAGATTAACAAGTACACGACGAATAGACGGGGTAGGATTACATTTTGCATTCCGCTTACTCACATTTTTGGGTTTGCAGAGTGTTATGGAAAGATTGTATACGGTAGGAAGCACATGGTTTCACTTTACAGAACTCCTGAAAGCAGGAATAGTATCGTCTCAACAAATCCAGCTGATTTTACAGCAAAGCTAACAATTAGAAAACTGCAATGGATCATTCCAAAGATTGTTCCTAGCCTAGAGATGCAAAACAAACTGATGAATTTGCATGAAAGTAACAAACTAATTCAGATGCCTTTCATTTCCCGCCAGTTTGAAAGTTATAGCATCCCCGTTGGTAATCGGGAATTTACTTGGAAGCTTGGGACCAAGTATGATAAAATCAAATTTATGGTTGTTGCTTTCCAAGTGGCAAGAGAAAACAATTACTTGAATGCTGCTCGATTTGATCCGGCTGGTCTGCAGGAAATTTATGTTGAACTCAACTCGGAAAGGTATCCCTACGAATGCCTAAAGTTTGATTTTGCCAGTTTCAATGCCGTTCAGCAGTACAACTTTGCAAAAGAATTTAGGAACAGTTATTACGAATCTGTCAAGGACTACATTTTTATGGAAGAAGACGTTTATTACTACTACTACCCTCTTTTGGTTTTTGATGTGTCCAAGCAAAATGACAGACTGATTCAGACACGCCCTGACGTCACGATAAAGGCTTCATTCTCGGCCAATGTTCCACCTGCAGCAAAATGTTTCTGTCTTATACTCAGTGATAATATTGTTGAAGTGAAGGATAACCGAGTCAAGGTTGTAAGTGTCTAATGGTTTCTGCTGGAATCCACGAATTGAATTTTTCCGGGTATCCATACCACTTTACAAACACTTGATTCTTTCGCTTCTTTAGAATCGCTTCAATCTTGTACTCTTGGCCGTTGTAAGCTACCAATTCTTGTTCATAGAATTTGCCTTTAATTTCCTCTCCTGCCAAATCTTGTAAATGATATGTTGGTGGGTCTCCGGGGTGGGCTTGAGCAATTTTGAATTGTTCTGTGCTCCAATTGGGTAAGTAGCCTTTGGCAAAAATTGTTTTGTATTTGGTGATTCGCACAGTATCATCAACGTTAAATTTGGGTTTGGTTTCAACTTGTTTTCCGTAAAGATTGTCGTGGACAAGTGTCTGGTTCTTGGGATCAGAAGCCTTGATGGGTGCCATTTTGATACTTCGATGGTAGTGGTTGTTGTAGCCATCGACCAAGTCTTGTAAGACGCTGACCCATTTGTGATTGCCTCGGTGAGAAAAGACTTTCCACATTTTGTCTTTTAGGGTTCGATTGAAACGTTCAACGATGGATGCCTTTTTGTCGGAATAGGTGGAAAAGTGTTGAATGTTGTGCGTTTTCAAAAGTTTGTTGACACTGGTATTGTAGTATTCTTTGCCATTGTCAGTCTGAAGCTTGACTGGTTTTCTGCCTTGGAAAATTTTGTCGAGCGCATCAGCCGTCTCTTGTCCAGTTTTGGTCTTTAGGGGTATAACCCAGGCGTACTTGCTGAAACAATCGATCGTTGTTAAAAGGTATTTGTAATTTTCATTCTCCTTGGCATATGGTAACATTTCAACCAGATCGGATTGCCACTGTTCATCAGTTTTGTGAACGTATACTCGCTCTGTTCTAAAGTTTTTCCTAGCTGGTTTGTGAAGAGTATATACATCTTGCTGATTCAAAAATTCTTTTACTTTTTTAATTGGTGCTTTTGTTTTTCTTTGCAACTCGTTGATTCCGCAGAAGCCGTTTTTGGGGTCATAGTAGACACTTTCCAACATTTACTAGCTCAGAATAATACTGGGAGTGGGGTTAGGGCGTATACGTATTGGATGCGTCACTGCTCTTATCAGGCCAAAGGTTTATTACCCCCGCTGGGGCTCCTGTCCCAGTTGGGGGCGTAGCTCAGTTGGTAGAGCGGTCGCCTGTGAAGACAGAGAAAAGTTAAGGCCTGAGCGTTCGAAACCAGGTGGCCGTCAGGTTTGGGGTTCCTGACTAGTATGGGATTATTCACTTTTTGAGTGAAGTTACGTCCCATATGAACGTCCCCCACCCTCTGTTGGACTTTGTCCCTTGTCACAGGTGTTTCACGGGTCCCTGGTTCGAATCCAGGCGTCTCCATAAATGGTTTTGCAAAGTGTCCCAACCGTGCGCTTCAATTTGCGCTTGGGACATTTGGGACACTTGGGGTTTTTGCAAAATTCCGAGTTTCGGGTCATTTTTTATATCGGCAGATGTCGATATCCAATAAACTGGTTTGGAACATGTAAAAAAAAGGTAGGAAAATGAAAGTGTCCCAAAAGCTGCGCTAGGAACGACATTTTATATACTACTACTCTATCTCACTCACTCTCTCTCTCTCGCGCTCTCTCTCTCTCTCTGGTTGACACCCAATGTTTATTCTATACAAAATGCCGGGAAAAGAAGCGAGTTGGGCGAGTAATGACATGTTAAATCACATATGTAGTAAAATCGGCACGGGGATTTGTAATTGATTTCCGGGGCGACGGCTCACTGCTTGAACTCGCCGAGCCCGTCGGCGTACACCTTGAGGACGTCGTCTGCAAAAAGACAGGGATTCCACAGAGCAATCCGTCGTGAAAATGGTAGATGAACCCACCGGCCAGCCTGCCCTTGAACCGCTCGAGGACGGCGTTGCCCATCTCCAGCCTCTCCTTGTCCGCGTCGGCCCACAGCATACAACGGCCACATCCGGTCGGGCAGTTCTTGGCGCCCGGCTCGGTCGGGTGGCTAGAAGCGGCGCATTAAGGAGAGATAGGCAACGTGTCCAACTTGCAAAAGTGGTCATAGCCGGCGATGAGGTGGTTGCAGACGTAGCACGTGAACTTGCCGCAGCTGCACGTCATCTTGTTGCACCCGTCAATCTTCTGGAAGAGCTTGCCGCAGTGGCCGCACTTGCGCACAAACAGGTTCGCCAGGGCCTCCTCGCTAAAAGGAGCATGAGGTAAAGGAGGTGGCGCTACAGCTCGAGCCGCACGCGATCCTCCTTCGTCAGGGCGGACGCCTTGACCTCGTCGCACTTCTGGCCCATGTGCGTGCTCCACTTCACCTTGCAGACGCTGGAAGAGGTGGTACTGGGCTGTTAGCGGGGGGGGGGGAGAAAAAACCCAGAAACCGACCGGCAGAACCGGGCATAGCACTTCAGGCACTCGAACACCTTGTTGACGTCGGGGGTCTGCTCGAACTCCTGGGCATAGGTGCAGTAGATGCACTCCTCCAGCTGGATGCCGCTCTCCATCAGCGCGTGCTTCGTCAGCAGATTCCAGAGGCGGCGGCGCGTCTGCTTGTCGCGCTTCGGGATGCATTTGCGGAGCACGGCTAAATGGTCGTATTCACATGATCGGTACTGGCCTGTTAGCGGGGGGTAGTACCAAATGACCCACGATATTTGATGGTGCCGTTGCAGCCGTTCATCATGCACTGCAGCCCGGAGGCGTCCTTCGACACCGAGACGGCATCGTCAATGGCCGCCTCCACGTATCCCTTGACGCATTCACGGCAGAACTTGTGCCCCTTCTCCTCCTCCTCCTCCTCCTCATCCTCCGGCTCCCCGTGGGCGCTGATCTCATCGGCGGTGACCGTGTCGTCCTCCTCGCCCTCGGCGACCACCGGCTCATCCTCGTCCTCATCATCTTCCTGGGTGTCTTGCGCTTCTTGCTCTTGCTCCTCCTCCTCCTCTTCTTCCTCCTCCTCCTCCTCCACCGTGCAGTAGACGGCCTTCTTCTTCGGCTTCTCGCCGCAGCAGATCTCACACTCGAACCGCTCGACGGTGATCACCTGAACAATAGTGGACTTTGGATTGACCTAGATTTTCAGGGTACTGGGTCATTAGCGGGGGGGGGGAAGAGCTCAGCGAGGCGACTTTTTACATGACCTTGTTGAACTCGTTGTAATTAAATTTAAGCTCAGGCTTCAGCTCAGATTCAGACTCAGGCTCATGCCACTCACCGGTCCAAACTCGGCGGCGCGAATTTTAGCCATGGCTGGCTGGAACTTCTGGGTGACCTGCTGGACCATGAGATCTCGAAAGTTCTTGGCGTGGAACCATTTGTACGGGTTGGTGAGGGCATCGCGCATCTTCTGTGCCTCGTTGGTGCGCTTCAAGAGGAGCGGGGTCGGCAGGGCGCCAGCTGAATGGGAGGTTTAATCGATTACGAAATGGTAGTAACACGTACTAACTCGGAGCAGGATCTCGAGGATGCGGGTGTGAACCTCGTCGGTGCGAACGTGGGTGGCGAGGAGGAAACAGGCGATGAAGGCACAGTCGACGGACATTGAGTACTCGATCACCACCTTCAGCCGGTACTCGGGCACCTGGAATCCGCTTTTTTTGCTGATAATGCCGATTTTTCGGTACTGGACTGTTAGCGGGGGGAGGGGGAACCAGTTTTTTCCCAATTCCCTACGGGTCGATAATGCCAAAGTCCTACATTGGGGCACACGCGCAGCAGATAGGTCCTGTCGTTGCCCAAAAAGTGCAGCCGGGTGCGCCGAGCGTGGGGGACGGTGCCGTAGAAGTCGCGGAGTTCCCGCTCGTACTGCTCGAGCAGGGTGGTCCTCATCAGGGCGGGCATCGGCGGGGCACGTTGATATCCCCAGCCCATGTAGTGAGGCACCGCCGGCACGTTCACGTTGTTGTTGTTCGCGCGGGCGGGGCCTTCCCTGAAAAGATCGTTATCTCGCCTCCACGTTAGTCTACAGGTGTGGAAAGTACACCAAAATGTTCGCCTTGATCTGGCGAGTATTTTAGTATACTTTAAAACCCTGTAGGACAATAGAGAGAGCCAAGCTACGGTAGATGAACGTCTACCGCGGCGACCTCAGCCGCCCTATACTGAAAACTCCCTCACTCATCGCTCGACTCGTCACCGCTGTCCTGGTATTCGAGAAGGCGCTGGCTGATGTCGTGAATGCGGTCAGAGACTCGACGCTCGATCACCAGACGGCCCTCGAGGATCATCTCCACGACCACTTCACCCGGGTGGCCCTCTCGGACCGCTTCTGCGATGCGCTCTTGGTCGAGTCGTGGGTACACCTCGAGCTGAAAATCGGCCGGTGATCGAGAGAACGAAGCAGAACACTGACCACTTTTGCGACCTGCTCGGCGACGTCGTCGGGGTCATGGCGGTTGAAGCGGACGATGTGGGGCACGGGCTGCGCGGCAGCTGGGGCGTTCGGCTGGGCAGCCATCGTCGAATTCAAGTCAATAAAAGGCCGCTCAGAATTTCCCTTTTTCCGTGAGCATTTTAGGGTAATTTCGGACATCCGGCTGCATGCTAATGACGAATTATAAGGACGAATGCTAGTTTTTATCGCATTATCAGGGGACCACCTTTTTTTCTTAGTATCCAATTTTTCAAATGGGATAGCGAGTCTTTTTAAATGGTTTTTTACTATGCCTAAACGTGAAAACTGAATTGAGTTGAAAATTGAAGGCGATGGATACCAATGGTTTTGCGCCGCACGGCAATTGACCCCTTACCGGCACCTTACTGGCACCCTAGCGGCCTTTTTCGCTCTGTGGTTGTGCTATTAACTTTCTGCAAAACCTATTTTAAAGGGATGCCGACGGCATAGTCAATCGGTTACGCGCGGAAAAGAAAATGTCTCTGCGCCTCTCCCCTGGGCGCGCTCTCTCCCCTGTTGGCTACTTGCCAATTTGTTGATGAGGGGGGATCGACACATGCCGTCGGCAGCCCTTTAAAATCAATAAAAATATCGAAGAAAATAAAATCGATAGTTTCGCTGAGAAAGCCTTATCGTATTCCGTCATGGTTGTAGCGCGGAGCCGGCATTAGGAAAAGCGATTTTCCAGAACGGTTTTCTTGCCCGCCCAAATTTTTGCAACTCGCAAAATCCCCCGAATTCTCAAATAATTTTTGTTACTAACATACTTTATTATTATTTCTTGATATTACCAGTGTTATTGATCTATAGCCCTCATTTAGATGGCGCACACCCCGGAGATGGCGCGCTTTCTACAGCAGCTACAAGCGGAAACACAGCGCCAGAAGTTCACCGAACAAGTGCACACGTTGACCGGGAGATGTTGGGACGTCTGCATCGGCGACAGCAGACCCGCTGCCAAGCTTGATGGAAAGGTTTTGCCACTATCTTTTATGATGTACATTCCTTTAGACATCAACCTGCCTCCAAAACTGCGTCAACCGAATGTTGGACGCCTCGCAACTAATGGTCGATCATTTACAAAAAATGGACAAATAACGCAACTTAGACTCTCTTGATTTTTCTCCTTTGCTTTGATGTTATGTATTCCTGATTGATAAACGCTTGATGATTATGTTTTTAATGACTATCAGAGGTATGAATACCGATTGAGATGCCTCGTTTTACTTTTCCCATCTGTGCTGGTCTTTAACATATTTAGGATGAGGCTGCTGCTGCCATTGCTTTTGATCCTTGGTGCTGCCGTTGCGATCAAGGATGGCGAAATAGTAGACGAGTATATTGCGGTATTTCCTTGAAGCTTACATTTGACAATAGTCAGAAATCGCAACAACCGTTTCTGCTCTTCGAACGTCACCTGGCAAGCAAGGTCCTCGTGCATGGCGGAGAAGCTAGCGTCTACTATACCATCCAAAACATTGGCGATGAAGATGCTACCAGGTTAATTTTTCCTGATAGTTAGATTTCTTCGTTTAGTGTCTTGTTGCTGGAACAATGGCATGGTGAATTCGGCAACATCACTCATGGCAGTTTCCAAGCGCAATGGCCGGTGATAAAGGCAGGCGAGAGAATCTTCTACACGGTACGCGGTTAATGTATAATAATATTAATTAGTTTTTTAGACCATCTACTCGCTGGTTGATGATGAAAATCTGGCAGATCAGTTGCTCGGCTTCTTCCGCGTGCCGGCCAGGCTCATCTACAAAGGATCTGATAGTTCGCACTCCATGCAGAGCGCCAATACTTATACCGATGACGGTATGTTTGACTTGATTGAATTTTTTCTTTTAGCTAGTTTTTATTATGATTATTGGGTCGCAATTTCCAAAGTGCCATTCAACTTACAAAATTTAGAACTCGGTCGCGTCATCTCCACCTCTACGCACAAGGCAGCCGTCCGTCCGCAACCTCCGACTTCGATAATGAATCGGCGAACCTATGAGCGTGCCCACTTCGCCAACCTCCACGGCTGGACAATCTATCTGACGCTGGCTCTCGTGATGGTTATCGGTCCCAGCTACGTGCACTGGGCCAAGCAAAATCGTTTTTAATTGAATTCTTTTCATGACTGTGTTTATACCTGTGGGTTTTCCGGTTATTGCTGTGGTGTTTTCGATAAAGATCTTCGGGTGTTTGCTTTGATATTGTACCCGATTAACTTTCGGTGATTATCTGAAAATTTTAAACTACTCTTTTTTTCAACCATCTCGCGAAACTGGGCAGATGAGCAACGACGTTCGAGCAACAGTACCTTAGTTAACTCTGGGGAAACGTTGTTGCTGGAAAGGGGTTTTTGCCCTATGTCGTGCTCCCGTAATCTCGCTTTCTGTCTAATGGCAACTCGATAATAGGCCGATATGCCTCACCTTCAATACTCGTAGGCACCAAACACCGAGGGTTTTGGCTACCTGCTGAAATCGAGGGTTCCTGTCCCTCCAATCAACGATGTTGAAACGCGCAATTCCGCCACCGCCGTCAAACAAAATTCCCGCTTTCGTACAAGATCCCCGATTTCGCCATCCCGCGACTAGTTTATAACCGCAGTCGGGCCCGGGCGGATTTTGTGGTGTAACTGGTCTAGGGCGTAGAATAGGCGGTTCTCGGTCTACGCGGCCTGCACTTTTCGCCCCTTTTTGCAGCTTGCATCACCCTTGTACCACATTTTCTCGCTCTTTTGCGCGTTGAAAAATTTGGTGAATCTGTCTAATTTTATATATTTTAGAGTCAGTCCATCTTGCTACCTCATTTCTTGGGCAACCATGAAGTACATGACCGCTAGCGAGGTAAGGGTTTTTTGCTATAGTAAATTTTGTAGTAATATAGTCCGTAGTAATTTTCATTTTTTTTAGGTTCGATCGACCTTCATCAATTTCTTCCGCGAAAAGAAGGAGCACACGTATGTGCATTCCTCCTCGGTGATCCCCCACGATGACCCGACCCTGCTCTTCGCCAATGCCGGGATGAACCAAGTAATTCTTGAGGATTGGAGATTTCATGTAAATTACAGTTCAAACCCCTCTTCCTGGGTGTAGCCGATCCATCTTCCGATCTGGCCAAGTTGAAGCGCGCCGTCAACACGCAGAAGTGCATCCGCGCCGGAGGTGCTTCATTATTTACTCAATTTAATCATATTTTTTTAAGGAAAGCACAACGACCTCGACGATGTCGGCAAGGACGTCTACCATCACACCTTCTTCGAGATGTTGGGTAACTGGTCCTTCGGAGATTATTTCAAGGTATGTTCTTCTACATGTAAGGAAACTAGTTTTGCAGCGGGAGATCATCACTTGGGCCTGGGAGCTGCTGACGAAGGTGTATGAAATCCCGGCCGATCGCCTCTACGTTTCATACTTCGCCGGTGATGTCGAAGCCGGAGTCGAGCCGGACAATGAGGCAAAGGAGATTTGGATGAGCATTGGGTGCGTAGAATCGTTTTTTTCGCTGACACAAATTATTTTTAGAGTTCCCGAGAATCGGATTCTACCATTCAAGGAGGACAACTTTTGGGAGATGGGTGACGTTGGACCATGCGGGCCCTGCTCGGAAATCCATTTTGATAGGTAATTTTATTGTTTAAAAATTGACCCCTTTTCTAGGATCGGAAACCGAGATGCCTCCTCACTCGTGAACATGGACGACCCGATGGTGGTCGAGATCTGGAATTTGGTGTTCATCCAGTACAACAGGTTTGCAAGAATATTCACAACTCATGCATTTTTTAGAGAGGAGGGTGGTGCGTTGAGGTCGCTTCCCGCCAAGCATATCGACTGCGGACTTGGGTTGGAAAGGCTGATCGCTGTCATGCAGGTAAATATGTTTATTATTTTATGAATTTATTTTAGTTTTCGTTTTCTAAGTCGATTGAGTGATAATTTCACTGATTTTTCTCTTAAATTGAAGCTGTAGAGTTCGTTTTATTAAAATGTTATGTTTCAGGAGAAGACAAGCAACTACGATACCGACGTCTTCACGCCGCTGTTCAGCGCCATCCAGCAAGGCACCGGGGCTCGCCCGTACACCGGGCTTCTCGGGGATGAGGACAAGGATGGTGTGGACATGGCCTATCGTGTCGTCGCTGACCACATCCGCACATTGACGATCGCCTTGTCCGATGGAGGGCGTCCAGATAATACAGGACGAGGGTAAGTAATTTTTTTGCAGGCTTTTAATACGAATTATTTTAGCTACGTCCTGCGCCGAATTCTCCGCCGTGCCGTCCGCTACTCAAACGAGAAGCTTTCCGCCAAGCCCGGCTTCTTCGCCTCACTGGTTCCAGTTGTTGTCGACCTTTTGGTAACGCAAGGAATAATTTGTTTTACATTTTTTAGGGCGAGACTTTCCCGGAACTACGCCGTGACCCTCAGACCGTTAAAGATATCATCAATGACGAAGAGGTTTAATTTTGTGGTTTGCGTTATAATTTTTCTTTTAGACGCAATTCCTGAAGACGCTCTCTCGCGGTCGTGTGCTTTTCCAACGTGCCATCGCTGCCCTGCCCGCCGGCCAAACCAAGTTCCCCGGAGATGTCGCCTGGCGCCTCTACGATACCTACGGATTCCCCGCTGATTTGACGCAGCTGATGGCCGAGGAAAAGGGGCTGAAGGTGGACCAGGAGGAGTTCGAGCAGAAGCGCAAGGAGGCCATCGTAAGTCCTAAACTTCGATTCCGATTTTATTGCTCATTTTCAGGAGGTGTCTTCTGCTGGTGCCGGCAAAGTGCGCGACACGCTCGATTTGGACGTTCATGCGATCGCCGAACTCAACCAAAAGGTATCCTATTATTCTAGTCTTAGAATGCATTTTTCTAGGGCGTTCCGAAAACCGACGACTCGCCAAAGTACGCCTACAAGGACGACGGAAAGAGCGACCTTTCATCAGCTTATTGTTTGCTTTTGCTTAGGGTTTATAATTGGATTTTTTTGCAGCCTTCGAGCCCTGCAACGGAAAAATTTTGGCCATCCGGAAAGACGGCGGCTTCGTGGAAAGCCTTTCGGCAGGCGACGAGGGTGCCCTGATCTTGGACAGGTTGGATTGGAATCATGGTGTGAAACGATTTTTAGGACGTGCTTCTACGCTGAGCAAGGAGGACAAATTTACGATACCGGTGTTCTGACGAAGGCTGATGTAAGTTTTCCAGTAGTTGCTCGATGACTTTTCTCAGGGCTCCGAATTCTCCGTCACAAATTGCCAAGTGCGCGGCGGCTACGTCGTGCTGGTCGGACGGGTCGAAGGGGAGCTGAAGATTGGGGACGAGTTGACGCAGCGACTTGACGAGGTATTTTTGTTCACCGTGATTCCACGATTTCGATATTTTCAGGAACGCCGTTCCTTGATCATGAAGAACCACACGGGCACCCATGTGCTGAACTTTGCTCTGCAGAAAGTGCTTGGTGATGTCGACCAGAAAGGATCGCTTGTCGCCCCTGATCGAATGCGCTTCGACTTTACCGCCAAGCAAGCATTGACCGGCAAACAGGTAATTTAATGGATTTTGTATAGGAATGTGGAAATTTCGTAATGTCGACAATACTATAAATTTCGACATTTGGGAAAACCTTCTTACGTTATCACTCTCACGGCCTAATTTAGGTCCTTGACGCCGAGAACCTGGCCCAAACTGTCATCGACAAGCGCACGCCCGTCTACGCGAAAGAAGCTTCACTGGCCCAGGCCCAGCAAGTAAATGGGCTGCGTGCTGTTTTCGGAGAGGTACCGTTTCTCGCTTCTGATCATTACATCGTTCATAGGCATACCCTGATCCCGTGCGCGTCGTAGCCGTTGGCGTGCCTGTCGATGAGCTTCTCTCCGACCCAGCTGGCACCAAGGGAACGGAAACGCCCGTCGAGTTCTGCGGTGGAACGTAAGAGTTTTCAGGCTCTATTTATGCTTTTGGCCTCGATTCCAAATTAAAGCCTACTTTTAGCCATCTTCACAACGTTGGCCACATTGGCAGGCTGGTCATCACCACGGAGGAGGCTATTTCCAAGGGCGTCCGCAGGTAAATACACGATTTGATTCGTAATTTTGTTTTTTAGAATCATCGCCGTCACGGGGCCTGAAGCGGAGCGTGCCATCCAACGCGCCGACCGGATGGAGACGCGCGTCTCAGAGCTGTCGGCAGCCGTGAAGAACGTTGGACCGTCGCTCTATTCGAACAAGGCGGAATTCCAGAAGAAGGGCAAGGAGGCCGTCGAGTTGTTGAATGTAAGCGATTAGAGTAATGAATCAATACGAGTGGCTCCCGGTTTATTCTAATACAATTTTGCAGGAAATGAACGCGATGCAACTGCCGAGCTGGCGCAAAGAATCCATCCGCGAGCACATCAAGGCCGTGCAAAAGACGCTGGATAAATATCAAAAGGATGCGCAGAAGATCCTCGAGGATGCGGTAAGCTCTTTTGATTCGATTTTTAATAACGGAATTACTTACGTTTTATTTTACTGATTTTATGCGTATTTCAGGTCATGGCCGAGGCCACCGCGCTGGTCACGGATGCACAGCCCGAGGTTCTCGTGCACATCTTCTCGCCCGGCGCCAACTCCAAGACGCTCGATGGCGCCATCAACAAGCTGCTCAAGGAATCGAAGGCAGTGATGGCCTTCTCGATGACGGAGGACAACAAAAAGGTCACCGTTATGGCCAAAGTCGATAAGGTAGTGTTTTGAAAGGTTTTTTTGGTTTTCTAATTTTGTGGATATTGCTAATTTATTTTTTTCAGACATTGATCGCCAAGGGCCTCAAGGCCTCTGAGTGGGTCGGCGCCGTCTGTGACGTTCTCGGAGGGCGAGGAGGCGGCAAAGAAGCAAACGCTCAGGTACCTACTTTAGTAATTTTCATTTATATATTGTCTTATTCCAGGCTACCTGCGACCAGCCCGTGCAGATCGATGCCGCCGTCGAGCTGGCCCGCCAATTCTCGGCCACAAAAATCGCATAAGCCACAGTATTCCCCTTGATATTCGCATTTGTCTGTGTCCCCTTTATGTTTGTCGTTTTCGTGTATGTGTGTGTGAAATTGTCCATGTTATGGCGTGGGTTTTGCGGTTGAGGTTTTTTGGGCCCCCATTCGCTATGTGTTGATTTTAACTTATATTCCGATAAATTTTACTGAAATGAGCTTTGCGGCTGCGTTGGCTTTACGTGAATTAGTAGTTTTACGATATTTTGACACTGGAATTTGGACTCGGCGGGACGACTGGCTTTTTAATAGTTTTCGATTAATCATTATTAAAAAATTGGGAATTGTTTGGCTAGTCCTGGCGATTTTTATATATTTTTTAGCAACGATTCAATCAAGCTTTATACAAATTTTTGTATTTTAGAAAGTGGCAATCCTGTTAAAACGATTCCAAAATTTACAGCTCTAGCCATGTTGGCTTCATTGCGTAGAACTTGGCTAGGTCGACCTCCCCCATGCAAGTTCCACCCGAAAAGGTCAATTTCGGTCGTGCTGCCCCGGCTCTTTGTTGCCGAATTATGAATGAAGTGCGCAGCGGGTGCAGCGCCCCCCTTTTGGCGTCTTGATGAAGATGTCAGCCGCAGCTGGCGATAAGCGTGTGACCTTGGGCTCGTCATCCGTTATGCCACCTTCGCTTTTCACCCCTACCCCCCGGGCCATTTCCAGTCCACTACGCGAATGACGCCGGCCCGGTCGACGGGAACACGTTTGCCGTATCAAAAGCACTACCCCCGGCAGTGCAGCCTGGCACTTTCCCCCCAAGCGGCTGCCACTTAGCACCGGGAGAAAATCGGACCGAAATGCGCAACCACCTCTACAACACTTTTTTTTGAAGAGCAGCCAAGGCAGTTGTGAGCCCGGGGGCGCTTCAAAGGATGATTAGCTGATTGTGACGCGCGGCGGCGTTTTGGTGGCAAAGGAGATATGCAGAGTTTTTGAGGGTATCATCACCTTTTTTAGGAACTCAAAAGTTTATCGCTGGAATTAGGGTGTAGAGATGCTGTTAATTTTTAGTTTTTAGGGTTTCTGCGTCAGAACGGGAGCTTTTTGAAGATGTCGATGGTCGTTTTAATAGCTATGAAGTTTATAGCTGGGACTAGGTGCTAATTTCTAGTTTTGAGAAATTTTAAGCGTCTCTTGTTCAAATGAAATCTTTTCTGACGGCTTCATCACCTTTTTTAATAAATTTAAAATTTATAGCTGGAAGTAGGGTTCGGGGATGCTCTTAATTTTTAGTTTTTAGAGCTTCGAAAATGCAACGAGCTGCTTTTCGGTTTTACGAAGTGAATGGTGGATTTCTAAATTCAAAAAGAAGCGCAAATTTTGATTTTAGTTAATCTAAATTGCAGGCTTATTTTCAGTGTCCACAGCATACTTTATAGGTAAATAGACATCTTTTTAGCGTCTAAATAATCATAAGTTGTGCTTTACAAAAAGCGTGCGATTTTGCAGCACTTCGTAACTGCTTTTTTCGGTTCTTGCCAAGAAGCGATTAGTACATTTCAGAAGTTTTTAGGTTTTTTATGCTTTTAACCAGCGTTTTTCAGGTTTTTCACCTTTTTGATAGTTATGTAGTTTTTCCCTTTTTCTATCGTTTTTTTCAGCTTTGAGCACGTAAATTGAGCACCATTTATTCGATCGCAACGCGGGACTTTATGGTATTTAATCATAGGGTGGAGGGGCATTAATGGAAAGGGAGGGGAAGTGGCGAAAACCCGAGAGATCATCCGAAAAAACAAAGTGGGATTTTTTGGGGGAAGGGGACAAAAAATAGAGTTAAATGGTTTAAAAATTGGTTTAATTTACCTAGGCTTAGGCTCAGGCTTAGGTTTATTTAGGCTTAGGCTTAGGCCAAGGCGCTGCCACGCTTCAACTAGGGACACATGGAATGCGGGGCGAAGTGCTCTCGTGGGCCAGGCAGGGGGCCGGCGGGCGCCCCCAAATAAATATAACGCTTAATTTAGGGCAATGAGTTGAGCAACGGCTGCAGCTACGCTACGGTACTATGGACGTGATGGCACGTGGTTTTTAGGTGGTTGGAGATCGAGCTCCTTTTTTGGGCCTTAGTCCTCCCAGGTGAGCGAGTGGCGGTTGTTGACGCGGAGCTGGCAGTTCCTCTTGCCGTACCAGTTGACGTAGGCGAACTCGGCGTCCGAGACGATCGAGTTGAAACGGCCTGGAATTGGGCCAAGGTTTTTTAAAGGGTTTTTTATAGGTATATAAAATCTAGTTTTAGTTTTTAGGTATATTTTAGGGAGTTTCTAGGTTCTCGACGTCGCATAAAAAGAAAAGCCGGCAATTTGAGCATCAGCTAGCTGTTTAGAGTGGAATTCAGCGTTTTTGCGGGCCGTTTTTCAGCGCAACGCGCCTATACACGCTCCTTTGTTTTCCCGGATACCTTACAACCTCCTTTTTTGGTTTTTTTGCTATTTTTAGCACGTTTTAGCGATTTGGGCTTCTCCCTACCTCCGAATTTGGACGAGGCTTGGCCCTCGATCTCGCGCGCGGCCTCGAGGTTGTCCTTCTGGTTTCCGAGGGCGGCTTGGACGATCGTCTAAATATCGGCGTTTAATTGCAAATATAGTATAACTTTAAGCTTAATTTTCTGGTAACTCACCTTCAGCTCGGCGTCATCGCAGTTTCCATCATCCCCAGCGGCATCACCATAGTCCTCGCCGGCGGCGGCCGGGGCGGGGGCGGCCTGAAATTGATAGTTATAAATAGGGAATAGTTAGCCGAAAAAGCCGAAAGCCAATAGAATGATAAAAATAAGATAAAATTATATAAAAAGCGCAGGGCCGGGAAAAGCATTAAATCCGACGCAAAAAAACGGGCTAGGCAGCGTTTGTTTACCGCGTTATCCTCGGGGTAGGGCTGTTGCTCGGTCTCTTCTTCTTGCTAAATTTTCGATAGGTGTTATAATGATCTTTAGCGGGTCGTAAGAAGTTTTTAAAGGGATCGGCAAGGCACAAGAATGGTATTTTCGCTGTGGATTTTTATTCTCGTCGTTTTTAATTTGATAAAAATTTTGCCGCGCGGCGACGCGGCACGCAACGTACGATTCGCTTTTTCGGCTCAATCAATTACGCAATGCAATGGCGCGTTGCGTTTGGCGGGCCAATATTCATCCCCAAAATCCTGCCCCCCCCCCCCTCTTTAGGGCCTGGCAGGGCGGGGTTAAGGATTTTTTTAGTCGCGGATGGACGCGGACATTTTTGTTTTCACGCAAAAACTACCCTCTTTTCCATTGCGTAATCGCTTAAAAACCCTTTCACCGCGGTGCGCGCGCGTTGCGTGTCGCGGACTCGACAGAGTGCTTTTCCGTCATTTTTAACCGATGTAAATTTAAGGATACCTCGGGGGCCTTATCCTCGCTGTATCCCTCCTCGGCGGGGGCGGGCTTCTCGGCGGCCGGGGTTTCCGGGGCGGCCGGCTGCTCCTCCTCGATGTCGTCGTACGACGATTCAGCTGCAAGGTGCGTTATTAGAAGTGCAAAATAATAATATATATATATATTATATTATATTTTTCCGGTACTGACCAGTACTCAAAAAATTATTAGCATGTATTTTCTTACCAGCCGGTGCGGGGGCGGCGGGGGCGGGAGCCTGCTCGGAGCCGTAGTTTCCGGAATCGGGGGCCGGGGCCTCAGGCTGAGGGGCGGCGGGGGCTTGTTCTCCGTATCCGCCGGCGGCCGGGGCTGGGGCGGCCACTTCCTAGAATTATTTATATAGCTTTATTTCGAGGGGTTTATTTTGATTTGGCGAGTGAACGATTTGAGGTGAGGTGTTTTTGCCGTCATAGTCCGTTTTTGGGCTTAGGCTTATGCTGAGGCTTGGCACAGGCTTAGGCCTGCGCTTAGGCTTAGGCTTAGGCTCTAGGTTAGGCGTAGCTTCGTACGGACTATAAAGGAGTTTTGGAATTTTTGACTGCCAGGTGCGTTTAATAGCTTGAACTTGTTGAACCTGTGGCTGTGGCTGAACTTGTCCCTGCTGGGAGATGACCTGCGGGGCGACTTCTTGAGGGGATCCCTCGGGTGCGGGCGGCTGGGGGACGGCGGCCGGGATCTGTGAGTGACGGTGAGCGTGATATTTTAAAGTTTTTTTTGGGTGGGGGGGTGCGTTTTAGCATGCAGTAAGAATTTTAGAAAAGAAAAGATGTTACCATTGGTTTAAAGGGGGTTTTAATCGAGTTTAGCGATTTCTAAGTATTTCAATCGAAAAATGCGGAATTTTCCTTTTTTGGTAACCTATTCGCGCTTTAGCATGTCGTATATAAAAACGATTACTGATACTGTAGGCGTACTAATGGTTTCTAAGCAGTAGGTATTGTCTTTCAAATTTTTAATTTTGTTAAATTCTTCCAAAATTAATATGTATTAATTATGCACTAATTTCAGGATATTCCTTAAAAGTATAGCTCTAATTTTGCTTTTAATCCATTTTAAAAGTTTATAATTTTTAACAGAAGTGTCGGTGATTTTGTGGTGCTAATTTCAAGTTTTGCGTGATTTTTGAATGATTTTAAAGTATTACCTGTGGCTGGGGAGCAGCAACGGCTCCGACGGCTCCGGCGTCAACTAAATTAAGAAATTAGCTCACCTTAAGACAGTAAAAATGCTTAAATGAATTTAAACTAACTTACCTCCAGCTCCCTGGGAGTAGACAGGGGCGGCGATGGGTCCCGGGCCGGCAAGGGGGGCGGCCGGGCCGTATGAACCTCCGGCGGCTACTGGGGCGGCTGGAAATGACATTGAATTTTTGATTGCTAAGGGTCAATGCTTACTCAATTTAAATTTTTTAGTTTTTGAAGTTTTTACGATCAAAGTAATGGCGCAGTCGGTAAAGCGATTGGCTGTCAGGCATAACCTCGAAGGTTCGATTCCCGGCCCGGTTTTCGTGTTGCTTTTTGCTCTTTGGATTAAAATCGAAATAAAAGAAAGGATTTAAGGACCGTTGGCATGTTTAGATACCTACCAGGGGCGGAGTAGTCTCCTCCAGCGATGGGTCCGCCAGCAGCGGGTCCAGCGTATCCTCCAGCGGCCGGGCCTCCATATCCCCCTCCGGCTCCTCCGAGACCTCCGGCTCCAGCGTATCCACCTCCGCCTCCAACGGCTCCTCCATAGCCTCCGCCTCCTCCTCCGGGGGCGGTTGCGTATCCGGAAGCGACCGGCGGGGATGCGTAGCTGGAAACGGCGAGATACTTACGGTAATGAAGGCAAAAATATCGGCAGCAGTAATCCCCCAGATACCGGCTCAAATCTAGCCAAAATCCCGACAAGAATATTCTTGCCAGGCAAAATACCGACAACTAAATGACAAAATGCCGATAGCCAAACCAAAATCGGGATTTCGGTTGTCGGGATGTTGGTTTTCGATATTTTCGCTTCCGGGATTTTCGCCTTTGTTATATTTTAGGAATTATCATCGAGAATTTACATTGTTCCCACGAAAGGTACCTTAAAAGGTATTTTTTTAAAGTGACTACAGTACTGCCTAGATTATGCTCAAGATATCTTGCCAATTTGGCTACAGTATCCCCTTAAAATAATTTTTCAGTTTCCCCTACAGTACCCCTATATCCCCTTGGTGTCCTTGGTATCATCTCGTACTCCACGCTCCCAGCTACCGTATGCAAATTCTTATCATTCAAAAGCCACAGGTGGTGCCAGGGGAGGAGGGGGTATCGTTAGGCTGAGCCGGAGCTTTTATGGGAGAGTCAAGGAGGGGGATTAATTGGACGGCTTTTCCCCTAGCGGCTCTCCCTCTTGCCCCTAGAGTGCTTTCGCCGCCCCTGTCTTGTCCTTAGGTGTGTCGTGTAGTGATCCGAAACGGGTTCCAAATGCCATCCATCCAGCGGTCACGGCCACTTCGAGAAGGGGGGAAGGGGAAGACGATTGAAAAACCGGCACACATACAGACAGATCCGATCCACTTTCGAGTAGCAGCTCTACGCTACGCGCCTGCACTGATCTCACCAAGTTCGGTCAGGGGGGCTAGAGTGAAGCGGGGAAATTCGGTCTGTGCTGACGGTCTTGCTACGTTTCTTTACCCCGCAGCCAAAAAGCCGAAGGGTCCCAAAGGTGTCTGTTTCGCTTATTTTTTCGGGACTTTCGCAACGCCTCGATAGAGCGTCGAAAAAGGATACCAAGAGTTTTAATTTGAGCCTACAATAATGTAAATAAAAGTTATAGCCAAAAACTTCCGGCTGGGGTAAAGAACGTACCATCTCTGCTAGCCCGCCTCGGCCTATTTTTAAAGGCCCCTTAAAGCCTAGAAAAGAGCACAGCCAAGATCCAAAATGGTCGCTGCTAGCCCCCCTCATTTGGTGATAATTCCGCGATTTTTAAAGGGATCCGGACGCCTGGAAAAGCGAAAAATCATCGAATTTTGGTCTCTGCATCTCTAGAACCTAAATCTCAGCCAAAATCGCGACAACCAGAACCCCGACAAGCCAAAATCCCACAATAGTTTGAATGTCCCATCCCTTCTAAACATCGATTTTTCTTGTCGGGATTTTGGCTGTCGGGATTTTGGCGTTTCCCAATATAACTTCTCCCGTTGGCCGGGTTTTTTGTTAGTAAATTCCTAAGATGCGCTAAATTTCCCAAATGACCTCTGCTAGCCTGCTTCTGCCTAAAAATCTCTAAAAGCTATCCTCTGCTCCAAGAAACTCTGCCAGCTTGCCCACGTTGCCGAATTTCACTAGTTTCAAGGGGGCAGGGGCAGAAATATTTGCGTAGAAAAGTTAAGCTACGTTTTAAAGGGTTTAGAAAAGTTATAGTGGGGAAGAAAAGCGGAAAAAAGGAAAAAAGTCGGACACAATCAATCGAAGTTTTTTGCCTTTAAAGTTAATTAAGTAACCGTTAAAGTAAAATCGACTGACCTGGACGACGAGCACGGCGGCGCGGCTCCACATCCGCCAGCCGCAGCTTGGCTAGGCGGACAGCATTGGCTACCACCGCTGCCTCCAAAGCAGCCAAAAGCCGGGCCGACGAGAAGCCCCAAAGATAGAAGGACGTGAAGCATCATTTTGTGCAAAAGAAGACCGTCGAAAGAGACCTCTCTGATGCTTTTATACCTGCCAGTAGGGGGAAGGGGAGGGGGCAATGGCACAGCACCGGAGGGCAGGGGGGCGGGAATCGAGCTCCACCTCCGCAAGGCTTTTTGGAGATGCCAATATTTTGAGTATGGAGAGGTAAACAAGGAGAGAGAGAGAGCGAGAGAGAGAGAGAGAGAGCGAGACAGGGAAGAGATCAAGCTCAATAGCCGATCAACTTTTTACGATCCACAAGCAGGAAAAACGATATTTTTGGAATGATAAAAAGTGAAGATGATGGATTGGATTTTTCAGAGCTTAAGGGTTAGCCTATGCCTATTGAGGTAACCATATAGCATTAAGGAGAGCCGCAAAATCGAGAAGATCGAGAAGGCAGAGAAAATTATGTTGAGCATTTCCTCTTTCCTCTCTCTCCTCTTTCTCTCTCTCTCCCTCTCTCCTCCTTCCTCTCTCTCTCTCTATCGTCCTTTTCTGCGATTCACTCCATCTCTATCGTTGGCTCTCTCTCTCTCGTTCTCTCTCACTCTCTCTCGCTCCCTCTATCTCCCTATCGCTTTCTAGCAGCCCCTCTCTCGCTCTCTGGCTGTCTCACTCTCTCTCCTTCTCTCTCTCTCCTTATCTCTCTCTCTCTCTCTCGCTCTGCCTCGTTACAAGAGTTCGGATCCCACGCAAATCTTTGACTTTTTGCATCAGAAGTTCGAAAAGCTAGATTCTATGCAAATTACCCTCTTACAGTAACCCCAGACCCGTAAAATCCATTTTTACATCAGTTTACACTTTCACTGATTCAAATTCCTCCTTCGATTTCACTCCTCATCAGCTCCTCCCTATCAGTCTCCCTCCTCCACTTTCACCCCTTCACCCCGGTCGATCCGTTTTTTCGAAAGTGAATGGTTGAGGGGTGGGGAGGGTGGCAACAAGGCTTCTTCCCTCTCGCCGCTTTTCCTTCCCTCCTAACCAGCCAGCTGCCCGCAACGCGGCTAATCACAACCCAACCACCACCACCAACTCGGCGGAATTTTTAGGCGGAAAAAGGCGGAACGGGTTCTGCCACTCCCGAACCTGGAAAGAGCACTGTAGTGAGGAAGGGGAAAAGCCGAGGAGCACGACTTCCTGGGGGATCGAGTCGGGGCCGAGCCATAGGATCTGAATGAGACCTAGGCTTAGATTTAGGTTCAGGGGTAAACTTAGGCGGCTAGGGTTTAGCTTAGGCTTAGGCTTAGGCTTGGCTTAGGCTTAAACTTGGCTCGGGCTTAGGCTCAGGCTTGGCTCGGGTAGGTAAGGGGCTTAGGTGCTTCGGGAAAGCAAAAAAGCAAAAAGCAAGAACATTCCACGCCGGTCGGGAGGCGAACGCGGATCGTGGATGGGAAACGAGACCTTGTATTTATATCAAGTACCGAAACGCAAATAAATTCTGTTTCCGGCCTCATGGCCCCAACTCCCAGCTCCTACCTCCAAACTCCAACAATTGGACAAAAAGTAAGAAAGTTCTGCACCCAGCCGGAGTCGAACCTGGGAACTTACTAGGGAAGTGCAAATAAAAATAGAGGGTATCCGCCTGTCGAGTGGTGTGTGGCTATCTTCCTCTGGGGTGGAGGGTCTTTGGTTGGCTCGGTCATGCAAAATTTTTGCTTTTTGGTCAAAGTCAAGAACTTTGACTTTTTCAAAGTTTCGAAGTCGAAAATTATTAAATTTGAAAAGTCTGTTCTTGACTTGACCAAAAAGCAAAAAATTTTATGACCGGGGAGTCGACAAGACCCTCCACCCAGAGGAAGGCTAGTTAGCCATAAACTCGAGGTGGTCCGTTTTGGGGGCGCTTAAGGGGGGGAAAAGTGTAAATAAATGCTTTTTTTGTATTAACGTTTTGATTTGTGTTTCGGTCCGTGATTTGACCATATTTTTGCTAAGGGGTTTGCTGGTTTTATTGCCCTGAGAGTTTCACCATGCAGCCAAGCCAGTATTCCTCATTTTGTAGGCTTTTCCTTGTTACTTTCGGTATTTTTAGTGATCTCCGATTCTTGCTCGCTTCAAGCTGGGCGTGAAATAGGTAGCTGGGTGATTGGAAAGGTATCGCATTCGGTTCGAGGCGGCTAGCCAGTGAAAGGTGCGATAAGTGGAACGGGTAATACAGCGACGGCCAGTATTAGCCAGTCTCGAACTTGAATCTGCCCCACCTGCAGATCGAGATCTTCTTCATAACGAGGGGAAAAGAAGGTAGGGGACAAGGCAGTTTGTATGATGCATGGACTGTGAACTTACAGCTACAAAGTACTAGCTATGTACAACGCGAAGTCGTGGACAGGTTGCCTAAGCCAAGCCTAAGCCGAGCCTAAGCCTAGCCAAGTCTAAGCCAAGCCTAAGTCCAGGCCTAAGCCCAAGCCCAAGCCTAAGCCTAGGCCCAAGCCTAAGCCTAAGTCCTTCCTCGCCCCACCTGGCCCGGTGGCACCTGGCACCATCCCCTTAAAGGTATGGGCAAGCCATAATTAGTAATTTCGTGTTCATGGGTATGGATTTTTCACGCTTCCGAAACGCAACGCAACGCTATTTTTCGTTGCGTAAAGGATTACAAGCTTTGCCTTTCGCGGGCCCGTCAAAACCCATAGGCTTAACCACCCCTTTCCGGTTCCTTTACAAGCTTGTTTTTTATGGTTTTTGCGGGGGATAGTGATGACCGCGGGGGGTGATTGTCAGCGTCAGGAGGGAAGGATCGGAATCCTGGGAGGGCGAATCGAATCGAGATGTTCCAGCCAGCCAGCTGCCGCTTAAGGAAAATCAACACCCCCCTGGATCACGCGTTACGCTTCATCGGCTCTGTCTGGACGTGAAATTGAGGATTGAGGATGCAAAAGATTGTGAAGGATTTCAGGGTGCTTTTGCGTTATCGGGGGGAGACAAATATTTGTATGCGTCCAGAAAAGCGAGCGTTTTTAGTAAAATTTAAATATTTCAAGGGAAAAACTTTAAAAAACGTCAAATCCGTTTCTAAAACTTAAATTTTAGTCAATTCCGAGCAATTTATTGAAAGTATCGGATTTGAAATTGAATTGAAGGGGAAAGAACATAATTTCTTAGCTTCCTGCCAAAAAGCAAAGAGTTTGCAACGGCCAGGAATCGAACCCGGGCCTTGTGGCTGGCAGGTAGCGCTTTACCAATAGACTACCCCCGTCTCCCCGCGATTTTCGTGGAATTCAACGATTTCTATTAGCAAACTAAATTTTCGTATTGCCCCGCTCAACTCGGCGTATCGCTTCGTACTCTGGCACTCGATTTTCATCCGACTACAGCCAGGAGAATTCCCCCGAGATCCCCCGGCTACAGTATCCGTGCGTCATCACTGCCGAGCGGATCATCCCGGAATTTGGCGAGTGTTGGCCATGAAATTAAGGTGCTTAGGGCCCATGGACCACTCTCTTCTGGAGGCTAGAGGGTTACCCTGGTGACGGCTCATCCCTTGGCTATCCCGGGCCATCCCGACACCTCGAATAGGGATTCCATCCCCTTGCCCAGGGCCCGATTCCGAAGCCATACTAATGACTCGGGGGTGCGGAAGGGGTGTAGCGACGCGGCATTCACTTCCTGGCCCGCTTTCAGGTTTTTGCTCTTTACTTTCTAGGTTCATTTTCCATGGGGAAGCCGTTAGAACGTTCAAAATTTTCTATAAGCCTAATTTTTTGTTAAAACATCGAATTAACCTAAATTTTCCAATTGAGCGCCAGATCCCGCAGCCATACTAATGACTCGGAGGTGTCACATCGTCAGATCCGCTTCCGGGCCCTAATTCTAGCCATCCTTGAGATTACAGAGCAGAGATACTGCGGCCGTTAGTGCTTTAAAAAACCTCTAAGCTTTATTTTTGTTCTGACTTTCACAAAAATAAACTATTTTCCCTCTTTTCGCTAAATTTTCGCAAAAGCGGTGTAGCGACGCGGTATCCACTTCTTGCCCCAGATTCCAACCGGAAAGCTGCCAATTTTTTCGGGGTTATCCCTTTTCTCGTCATTGGCGCAGGGAAAACTTTAAAACAGTCATTTTTGCTCAAAAAAAACGCAACATATGCAAATTCTTGTATTTAGGGATGCTTGGGAGCGTTAGACCTCCAGCGTCACCTGGGTGATTGTTTGCTATGAATAATTCAGCTTTTAAACTTGCTCAAATGCCTTAAAGAGACTTCACTGAAAGCGTACGCTACGCTCCAATCGATGGTTGCCAATTAACTCTGATTGTAGGCCAAATGGTGGACGAGGCGGGGGTGACCGCATTTCTCGACACAAATCCCGAGGTTGGTTAAACCTTTTTGAATCGAATCGAATCGATCGATTGAACCCTACAACAATACGCAACAATACTGACAACCAGCGAAAATATGCGATAGTACGTTATGCTACAGTACTAGCCAGCATGCTCCAGTATGACAGCGCGTGATATAGTGCGATACATCACAGTACGCAGCGGTACGTTCTAATACGCTATGCTACGGTACCTCGCATCTTACGAAAATATATACACCTGAAAATCTTATGGTATTTATCGTCATTTTCAGTTCCTGGAGCGCTACGTGACTTCCTCAGCCGTCAGCCGCGAGGCGTTCAGCCGCTGGGGCCAGCAGCGCCGACGCGCACAGCGCGGCGACTCGCTCCGCAGCTTCGAGTTACCCTCCACCCCGTGGACGGTAGGGGTTATGGTAGCGGGCCCATAATATGAAATTCTTCAGAATCGAGACCTCAGCAGCCGGCGGCGCATACTGCTCGATCATGGTGACCAGACGGTAGGTGAACTTGCCGTTTTTTTGAGTGGTTATTTGTCATTTTTGCGGTGCCATCTATTTTTGCGGGTAATCTACTCTCTTTGGATGCCCTATTTAGTCATCAGCTTCCGCTACAAAAGCTATAGAAGTGATTTGCAGAGGGTTTGAGGCAATTTTTCGGTTTTTAATTTTAGTTTTTTGCTTTCATTTTCATGTTTTTTGTATTTTTTAGTTTAATCTTCGTTGTATAATTCAATAACGTGTTACGTCGAGTTTTATAAGTTTAATTTTCGATTTTTTCCAACCTTACAAAGGTCATGTTTCATCTCATTCCCAAATGATCGCTGGTAGCCCGCCAGACTACAAACTACACGAATTCCAGCTGCGCCTCCTCTACGAGCTGACCGCATGTTGTGGCCAACTTGTCGGCATGGCCAGCGAAATGCTCGAGCTGGTGGTGCACAACGACGAGGGCGCATTCGTCGTCTACAAGAGCCGCACCGAGCAGCAGTTCAAGCTCAAGAAGGTGGGCTCTTGCTTAGACGGAGGTCTAACCTTACGCCAGCCATTTTTCACCAAATCGGGCTGACTCACGCGCGTGGATACGGTAGCGCCGGGGCGTTGTTTAGCCGGATGAGCCGGGCTAGCCGGAGCGCCGCGGAATTCTCATCCCGAGAACGATTAGCGGGTTTTCGGGGGTTTAGGCTAAAGGGAAAAATCGCAAAAAATCAGGCATGGCAATCGGCCGGGCCGATCGGCTTTTTCGGCCTGGATTTGAATATCGGCCTATTAGAATTCGGCTCGGCCGATCACTTCCGGAATCGGCCCTTCCAGGGCCGATTTTCGGCCCTCGGTCGGCCCGGCCGATCGGCCGAGCCGAAAGCCGACATGATAGTTACTAAGCAAAAATTTCTCAAAAAAATTTCGAATTTATTTTTTCCAATTTATTTTTTATCGTTTTGCTTCAGAAAATAAAATGCCTACTGGACCTGATCGGCATTCTGAATTTCGAAGCGGCGAATCGTGAATTATCAATTCGTGATTTTGGAATCGATATTTTTATCCAGGCTCGAGTCTCAGTTGTCGGCATTTTATTCTAGTGCCTCGCACGCGACAATACATGTCTAGCCCCCATCCATTATGGTTTTTCTCATTTACATCAATTTACATACAATTTACATAATGTCGGCCAAGCCGAATCGGCTCGGCCGATTTCCCAAAAATTCGGCCGGGCCGATCGGCTCGGCCGAAAAAATTAGCATAGAGAAATCGGCCCGGAAGTGGCCGAATTAGTCGGCTTTCGGCTCGGCCGATCGGCCCGGCCGGCCGATTTTGCCATCCCTGCAAAAAATCGTACTGTAGCCTAAATTTAGCAGAGCAAAAAGAACTCGGCGAAGACGCCCGCCTACGTGCAGATGCTCACCGATTGTGCTGGGAATTCGTTGGGTTGGTGGTTCTCGCTCTCGCTCTCTCTCTCTCTCTCATTCTCTCTCTCTCTCTCTCGCTCTGTCTCACTCTCTCTCTCTCTCATTTCAACCCACTCTTCTAGGGGAAATCTGCTTCTACTCGCCGCTAACGGCCCGCGATCGGCAGATGCTGAACGCCCTGTGCTGCTGGGGCGCGGCGGTGCTGCACTATGCACAGGTAGAGCGAGAGAGAGCGAGAGAGATAGAGGGAGAGAGAGAGCGAGCGAGAGAGCAAGCAAAATTCGTTTTAGATGGCCACCCATTTTGCCTCCGAGGGCACCCTGTTCGACTCGTTCACCCGCCAGCGCAAGCTCTCCTCCTTCCTCCTCGACGTCGCCAAGTAGCTCACCTCATGGGCTTCACCAGACCTTGAATTCTAGGTCCATCTTCCAAGACATTGTCAGCATGGACGCCGTCATCCTGAAGGTGATGAACTACGCGCAGAAGTTGGTGTCCGCCGAGCGTGCCTCCCTATTTCTCGTCGACTCCAAGACGGAGGTGCGGCAGTTTCAGGCGCAATTTAGAATTGAATTTATAGGAGCTGTACGGATTTGAATTTATAGGAGCTGTACGCGCGGATTTTTGACGTGGGGCAGGGAACGGACGAACACGTCAAGATCAACAAGGACGGGCAGAAGGAGATAAGGTACGGCATTTTTTAAGCTTTCTCTCTAGCTCTCTCTCTCTCTCTCTCTCTCTCTCTAGCTCTCTCTCTAGCTCTCTCTCTCTCTCCCTCTCTCGCTCTCTCTCTCGGTGTGTCTTAGGTCTAGGCTTAGGCTTAGGCTTAATCCAAATAAAAATCCTAGATTCCCAATGTCAAAAGGCATCGCCGGTGTTGTCGCCGCCACCGGCCAGGGGCTGAACATCGAAGATGCGTACACAGACCCCCGCTTCAACAAGGACATTGACGAGCGCACGGGTTACCGTACCCGTTCCATCCTGTGCATGCCCATCTTCATCCGCCATCACGTCATTGGTGTCGTCCAGATGGTGAACAAGACCGACGGAATCTTCAACAAGAGCGACGAGGATGCATTTGAGGTATTTTTTACTTAATTGGAGTTATCGATCCGATCTCTAGATGTTTGCCGTCTACTGTGGGTTGGCGCTGCACCACGCCAAGCTGTACGACAAGATCAGGAGGAGCGAGCAGGTAAGGAGTTTAGGCTTGGCCCTGGATTAGCTCAGGATTAACTTGGGATCAACTTAGGCTGAGGCTTCGCTTGGTGGGACACCACTGAACTGCTTGAACTTGCCGAGAAACCGCCATTCCCTCGATTCCAGAAAAATCGTGTCGCCCTCGAAGTCCTCGCCTACCACTCGGTGTGCAACCGCGACGAGGTGGCCAAGCTGAAGAAGATCACGCTCAGGGATCGCATTGAGGAGCTGGAGACGTGGGTATTTTGCTGATGCAAAAGATGCTGATGTACTGCTCGAAAACGTAGGTAGTTTGCAGGTACGACTTCAACGGGATGCGCCTGTCCGAGTTGGAGAAGCCGCTGTACGCCGTCTACATGTTCAAGCACTTGTTCCACGAGACAATGTAGGGATAGGAGTACGCGCGAATACGCAAGAACGCAAATTCCAGCCCGTTCGAGTATGATGACCTGGTGCGCTTCGTGCTGACGGTGCGGAAGAACTATCGGAGGGTGGCATATCACAATTGGGCACATGGGTAGGTAGATGATTTTCAAAGGGGAGGAGCCACCGTCTTCGGCAAGTTCAGCCCTGGGGTCGGTCTTAGGCTTAACTTGGCGACCAGCCGGTATCATATCTTCAAGAAGTATAGCGATCGTCGAGGCTAGGTTTAGCCTTGGTCGTACGTCATATTCGTCAAGTACGACCGAGTGCTGCGTCATCCACAACATTTTCGACAAGTAATACACCGTCTTACCTCATCTTCAAGCAGTACAACCTCCAAAAACCGCTATCCTATCCTCTTTAAAACACTAACTTTTCCAGCTGGTCCGTCGCGCACGCCATGTACGTCCTGCTGCACCAGAACCGCGAGCTGTTCACCCCGCACGAAGCCCTCGCCCTGTACGTCTCCTGCCTGTGCCACGACCTCGACCACCGCGGCAAGAACAACGCCTACATGCGCGACATGGCAACGCCGCTCGCCTCGATCTACTCGACGTCCGTCATGGAGCACCACCACTTCAACCAGACTGTCACCATACTCCAGCAGGTACTCTGAACTCCTTCAAGTCGAGCCCGGGTTGTAGGAAGGTCACAACATCCTCCGTTCGCTGACGTCGGCCGAGTACAAGTCGGTGCTGGGGCTGATCAAGCACTGCATCCTGGCCACCGACTTGGCGCTGTTCTTCCCGAATAAGTGGGTCGGAAGTAGATGATCAAGTCTTCGTTCAGGGCGAAACTGAACTCGATCGTCGAGGCGGGCAGCTACAACGTGGCCGACCCAGAGCATCGACGACTGACCCAAGCCGTTCTCATGACCGGCTGTGACCTGATCGCCAGTGCAAAACCGTGGCAGATCCAGACGGAGACGGTCAAGGTCATCTTCGAGGAGTTCTACGAGCAGGTACTGATCAACATGATGGTGATGTTGTGCCGCTCCAAAGACAGGGTGGACAAAAAAAAAGATCCGAGTTTGGGGCAGAATATCTCGCGAACGGTAGAGAATCGAAGGTGTGTTACCATGCCAGAATGCTTAAATATGCTGGGTATGAAGATTTAACACAACTTGATTTTTTCGATTTTTGAGTACGAAACTGTACTATTGACGTTGGTTACGACCGAAAATTGTGCGTTCTTGAAGGGGTGGTGGGAAAATTCTGATTTTTGGCCTAAAAATAGTATAAATTTGAAGAAATGTAACGGCAAAATTTTAGAATTTTTTGAGGTCAATTTCATTTTTTAAAAGCAAAACAATTTTCGCGAGTTTTCGAGATTTTTGTTCTTTGAGTCATAACTCGCTTAAAACTCACTGCCTATGGCTGATATTTTGTCAATGACCTATCCAAATATTAATCTCGGATTCCACACCAAATTCCACCACAATCTATGGTATTTTTATATTGCTTGCTAAAACGTGCCCCAGCGGGGTACTGTAGGTTTCGTTTTTCCCGCTTTTCTCGGGGCCCCTAGCTTCGATTCGGCTAAAATTTTCTGGGTTGTTAGGCAATAAGTAGGGGCACCTTGCTGCCAAATACGGGAGCGTACTATCCACAAACGTTCATGAAAAAGACTAAAAACTGAGTTTTTAATTCCGCCACAGAATCTTGTATTTTTTTGGGCAGTTGTATCAAAAACCGCTAACATTAGTTTTACGAAAAGATCAAAGCGATTCCATGGCAAAAACACCACGAAAATCGCTAATTTCGGTTTTCTACAGTAACCCCCGTGGAGCGCGTTTTAGCATGCCATCACAAAATTCCATAAAGTGACGATTTTTCAATTCGAGGGCCTTCTAGAGTTGATTGTAAGATAACCTGTTAAAAATTACCGATTTTGGGTGGTAAATAACAAAGTTACGAGGCCAAGTGCAAAATAGGCCAGAGAGCCGATTTTTGGTCCGAGTAGCCGGGGTCAATTTCCGAAATTTTAAAAATAAAAAAACCAGCTGGGTTCTATGGATACGATTATATCTTCGATGTTATTATCTACGCACGCCAAATTTGGGGGCAATCCGATTCATGATAATGGTGAATTTCAGCTCAAAATCGAAGATCACCCTATTCCAAAATCGAAATTTAGAAATCTTCTTAAAATTTTTGCGACGTGAAATTGCTTTAATCTTTGCATAGTTTTATTCAACTGATAACACTGACTTATTGCTCAAAATATCCCTACGACTCCACCTTCCAGAATTTTTTTGCGCAACCTCCAAATCGGTTTATTTCGGGTTTTGATGAATTTTCTTGGCGCCAACGGCTGGTTAAAAAAATTCATGAATAAGGCTTTAGGATGCGCTATTTAACTAGTATCAGATAAAAACAAAACGATAATTTTCTGAGCGCGACTAAATTTTATAAAATGGTGGCAAGATTCGGAAAAAAGCACGAACCAACCGTTTTGGGGGCCCTAAAAGACGCCCCTCCAAAGGGGTACGGTAGCTCGAAATTTTGTAGATGATAGATAAGCCCTGTCGAAACCTTTCTGCTTATTGCAGAGGTTCGAAGGGATTTTCCTATCCCGCGCCCCTTGCCTGTGATACCGTAGTCCCCGGCGCCCCCCGGAGAGCCGCGCTCTCCGATTTTTGGCGAATTGCCTTTTTGGGTAAATTGCCCTTTTTTGGGACAATTGCCCCTTTTTGGGTAGTTTCCTAGGAGCAAGCCTCCATGCTGCCCAATATCGTCAGAGTTGAGCCAAAACCCTTTGTATTGCTTTGTGCAATATGTTTTGAACCAGAACCTTGTGACCAAGCGATGAGTACAATTGTATCTCAGTTTTGTTCATTGCCGATAAACCTTTTGTCTCTAGACAATCGTACCGAAATGCATTTGGGACTCTTTACAAGATTTCTACCACTGAACAATCCAAGCTTCATCTCCTTGTTGTGGCTTCTTGGGTTCGTGAATCTTTCTTGGCCTATGTCGAGGATACTAGGTTCGGGAGAGTCTGAACGGGCCCAAGGGGCAAAGGCAGAAGTATAAAGTGTGGCAAGTCCTTACTCTAGACCTCAGTGATCCTTTTGGTAGAGGCTAGAAAGCAGGATAGACTTTATTACTTTTGTCATGGTGCGTCTCGGGTTACGAATTCGAGTCTAGTTTCTCAATGCATTTTCGGTCAAAATCGGCTTTGAAATCAGAACCAAACCAATACCAAACCAATGCAATGTGGCGCCTGAAAAGGCTGCCGCCCCGTCCTGGACGTGCTGCACACTCCAGGGCCCGGCCAATAGAAGGATCAGCTGCGTGTTCTCGTCTACGCTCGTCGACCGAGCTCTAGCTTGCTGACGACGATGTGAAGATGGGATGCCCTGCATGCAATCGTGCAGGTTGAGGCACTGGACCTTTTGGAATTGACATCCGCAGAAGTAAGGTATAGTTTCCCCGTGTTGTATACAAGCGTGCGTCGTTCGCATCGCCCAATTCGCATTTTTTGGTCAAAAAACAAGTGTTAAATTCAAAACTTGCGCGCATTTTAGTCCAAAGTTTTTTGTTTTCAAATCTTTCGTTACGGCAAATTGTTGGCGCGTTCCCTGGGAACTTTCCCCCATGTACATAGTCCCTTTTTCCCCTCTCTAATCCCTTTTTTTTTCAAAAAATTAACTTCTTTTTTGTATATACACTTTTCTTTTAATATTTTTTCACTTCTAACTTTCTTACCCAAATTTTTCTCTCTCTTTTCTAACTTCTCACCAGGTTTTCACTTTTTTCTTTTGCAAACGAACCAAGTGTTCACTCTAAATTCCGTTTCAATACCAAAACCTTTGGAGATCAGCGAGCTAACTTTCGCCACATGCGAAAAGAGGCTTGCGGCATGCTTCGGCGTGTGATCCTCGAATATCCAGCACCCTTTTATGCTTTTTGGAAAAGCAATCTGCCAGTCATCTACGAGCATCTACTCAATGCGTGGAGCGAGGAAGCAAGGAACCCAGCAATCAAACGCCGACGAGCGATCGATTCCTCGTCATGAAGTGTGCAAAGATGAAACCAAAGCCAGCCCCTCCCGCTCATCGTCGACACCTTCGCAAACTCCTAGATGATAGGCAAATAAGTCCATTTTCCAAGGTAAAGCGAGAATTCTTTCACCACGTGTGAAATAATGCTCGCGCTACACGTTCGTGTAGTATTTACCTTTTGGAAACGCCTTGATACCAACACCCGCTTCCGCTTGTAAAAGCGTTGAAGCTGTTTTCCAAACCAAAACCACTTTCTGATCAGTTTACGGCCACAATATGAATTCCGTATTGCCCGTTAACTGGGGAAATACTATTTCCTTATGTCAGAAAGTTTGAACCAAGCCAAGAATTCGGCATTGAACGTGGCGATTGCTATATTGGTTGCCCTCTTTGCCGGTATTCATAACCAAAACGAATTTATCAACGTTGAGCGACACTTTCTCGCCTTCGAAGATGGGTTCATCAGGACAAGTCTTACGATTGCTGCTGACGATTGCTATATTGGTTGTCCGCGTCGTAAGATTTTACTGAATTGCCTCTGGTTCTACTACCACGGTAGCATCAATCAGTTCCTTTGAGAATCAGTGAGCGTAGTTTTCATCAATGCGTGAACAGAAGCTCGCGGCATGCTTTTTGTGTGCAATTCTCAAACTTTCAGAACCAGTTTCTCACATTTCCAAGGTCAAAGCAAGAGTTTCGTGTACCAAGTGTACAAAAATTCGGGCTACGCACACGTGTGTTATACCTTTGGATATTCTTTAAAACAAAACACTTTTCTACCCTTTTTGGGAGAAAAGCGGCCTTGTAAAAGGTTGTTTATCAAGCCTCAACGCAGCGGCGGCAACAACGTAACCGCCATCAATAGCAACCCGCCATCAGCCTCGTCGACAATTCAACGCCAACTACAAAGAAGCTCGAATCGACTCGCTGAAGATTCAACAAGGCTTTCCTGTCAACTCAAAACCGGTTTTCGAAGTAGAGTAAGAGTTTATTACCATTGGTATTAAAACTCGAGCCACATCCTGTGTGCTATCTGCTTTCGAACGCTTACTAATCCAAAACCTTGTCAATGCCAGTCGATTCAATTCGCTGTCAACGACAAATCCTGGAAAGAAATTTAGCGGTGCTTGTGGCGATTACTATATTGGTTGCCCTCATCGCTAGATTTTCCTTTCAGTAACTACTTTTGACAAAATTTCTTTGGCAGCATGGAATCAACGTGCTTTGCCGATGATTTGAGGAGTGGAAACCTGTTTTCAACCCTTATTTTGTCAATTGTAGAATCCAAAACCTCGAGCGAATCGGCTTTTCTTTGAAATAAAAAGAGCTAACTCTTTTTAGTTTCTAAGAAAAGGCTTATTTCCTCGATAATAATCAAAACCATCCCCAAGACCGAAGGCAAAGAAGAATAAGGACTTCATCTACTCAAGTCATCAAGGATGTTGCTGTCTGCTTCGTTAGTTCCACACGAAGATCGAGCCGCGGTGACAGCGCGGACAACATCGAGCCGCGGTGAGAGCGCGCGCCGATCACAAATGGACGAAGAATGCAGTTGGTTATCCTGGACGTGTGTTGAGTTTCTTTCTTTTGCCGTTACCAGATTAGAATTTTGTTTGTTATCGACGTATGTCGAAACAAATTGAAGTTTTAATTCTTGGTTTCCTTTTCTCAAATCCAGCACCAACCGTTTCTTCGATGTAGCGTGATTATCCGTGTAAATTCTTCGAATTACATCGATGGTTATGTTTAGTTCTGTTCTAAACA